ATTTTCATTAAAAACACAAAAATACAAAAAAAAACATTTTCTTAATTAATTAATTAATTAGCTATTAGTTTTAATTTCATTAATTACAAAAAAGGACAAAAATTCAATTCTTTCTTAAAAAAGGGTCAAAACCCTTAGGACGTTCCCGATTTAATTCTCGCGCGCATTTATTTATTTTGTTTATTTATGTAACTGTCTCCAGATATGTAATAGTTAAATAGGAATTTTACCGCTTTATTTAATTTCTCGCATTTATTTACCAAAACGGGTTTTTGTTTTTGGCGATGTATAGACCCGCGCCTTGTAATAGTTAGATTTACCTTTCCGCAATTTATTTTCCGCACTCCGAACTGTTAAAAAATGCCTGCAAGAATGTATGTAAATAAAACCAATCCGTAGCTCACAAATAAACATGTACAAGACAATTTAACATGAAAAACAACACACATGCACATGCCACTCCTAGGGTACGCCTCACTGGTTGCCTCGAACGTGGTCGTCAAGTATAGGGTGTCTTAGAGGTCGCCCTTCTGTCCAAAAGATCCAGTTGCCTCGAAACGGTTGCCTCGGATACAAAGGATCTAGGACATTAGGGTTACTTCTAAGGTGTCCTACCATTGCTTCGGTGACCACACATGTCCCTCATAATCGAATTGACCCGAACAACTCCAACGATGGTGCTACCTACCTCTCAATGGTGGGATAGCACTATCTAAAGGACGCTTACACAGCCTAATTCCTTAGGGTAGGTAGATTCTCATGGGTACTTGCTCTTTCTCAAAACAAACAAAAATACTTTTCACACCTCACACTTTCTAAAAGATTTCAAACAAATTTTTCATACACTCTTGAGGACAGATACAAGAGTTACTTAGAAATTTTTCAAACGAAACTTTTTCAAAACCCACACACACTTGAAAAGCAAACAAATTTTGAAAACATAAGAGCAAGTACCTAAGAGCCCGTGGATAACCACAGATAGAAAGGGTGCTAACACCTTCCCTTTCTATAAATCTACCTCCCGAACCGAGAAACATTCTCAAAGAAGGAATTTGGCTGTGCTTTTGTCCTTTCCATGTTGGAGAACATAAAAGACGGTGGAGACTCTTGCTTACCGCGACATTTTGCGAACCAGCTTAAAAAATAGTCAGTTCTATTTCCACCGATCACCAGAACTGGCGACTCTGCTAGGGAGAATAAAAGTGAGGTGTACCTTAGTATTAGATCATACTTATGTTTTCAATTGCTTTGCTTTGATTGCTTTATATTTGTGGGCTTTGCATCGGAGTTTCATAGATCCTAACCCGGATCTGGGGATACCCTTTTAGGTAGCATAAGCTGTGAGGGACCTGTCCGGCGTAGACCGACACGGGTGAAGCAGTGGCTACGTTGGTGTGGCACCTTGGTCTGTACCGATATCCCTTGTGTTGCAACGAGGAGAATATGGGTCTTCTGAGGAGTCATTAAGCACCAACCGACCTTAGAACCCTAATGTGACCCAACTTGGCCATAGAACAGTAGCAGTATGCTACACCCATTGAGGCTAAACTCTCGCGATGGTTCTGGCCGCAAGAAAAGATTGCGACGCTGGAGTTATGACCGATTGAGGGTAGTCAGTGATATTGGGATCCTCTAGAACCCGGTTACTTTTGATTTGGATTCTTAGAACCTCTTCCAATTCTCTTTTTTCTTGCAATACTTTATCATACAATTTCTTTAGTCTTCCAATTTCCCTAGCAGCAGCATCCGACCGTTGATTATGGGAATCAAGATTGAAAGTAGAACTTAACAACCCCTCAGTCGTACGCTTTCGTTTAGACCTCTCTTTCTCATCCAATTCACGGTTGTTTTAAATCTGTTGGTATTTCAGCTCAAGCTCTCATTGCAACTGATTCTTCTCAATAACAAGGTCATAATGGTTATGTTCCAAATTCTCCTTATCCCTTTGAGCTTGCTCAATGGAATTCTTTAGCTCTTCTATCTCTTCCACTGACATTATAGTCGTAGACGCAGTTCGCAATTAATTTAGAAAATAAATCCACAATCCTTTTTTGAAATAATATTAAATTCAAAATTAAGTTAGCAGAAAAGTGTTAAGTTTGATCTAATAGCTGTTTTAAATGCATGGTGTAATTTTGAAAAAATAAGTTTGAATGGTGCTAAAGTTTGTAAAAAAGTTTGATGAATGGATAAAAAGGTTAGTAATTTTTGGAGAATAAATAGTTAACAATAATCATTATATTTATTATTAAAAATATATTTAATATTTATAATAATAGATAAATATTTATTTATCAACATGATTGTTTATGATAAATAACAATATTATTTTAATGCAAATGATAAAAGATGATATGAGAAGAAAATTGCTCAATATATAATAAAAATTAAATAAATAAGATAATCAAAACAAACACATAATACAAATACATTAAATTAATTATTTAAATAAAAATAGGGGGGTGTATTTTTCATTAGCGTAGTAAAACAGGGGGATTAGAATAGCAAGGGCTTAATCCCAGAGTTCCTTTGAAGCCCAATAATCAAGGGGGTATGAATTATGTTGGGAAAGTAATCTGGGGTGTGTGGAAAGAAAGGGCTTAAACCCAAACATTTGTTTTGATTCAAAGGTGCATAGAGGTGCAAGTTTATGTTGATGAAGAAATTCAGAGGTGTCAAGAGTAATGGGCTAAGCCCAAAATAACTATTTGGTCCGTCTGGACATTGTGAGGCAAGCCTCCGAGATTATGGTGTGTTAGTGTGGATCAGAGACGTTTGATTCAAATCAAAGGGTCCTTCAGGAGTTAATCCTGGAGCGTTATTCAAAAGTAAGAAAAACAGAGGGATTGGATGGGATGTTGACTAGGTTACACAGTAGGAATATGCGCATCTGGGATGAACGAAGAGAGTATATCAGCAAAAATACTTCATAATTTTCCATTTTCTCTTCTCTCTCTCTCTCTATCCATTCTTACGATACAAAATTTAGAGAGAGAAGCTCCAGCTTCTCTCTAGAAAGCCACCCACTTGTAATCACTCAACTGGCCGTGCCACCCTTAGCCCTACCACAAACCACTTCCAATTCCATTTTTCTGGTTGAAGATCAACCAGAAACTTGAACCCCTAACCCATATCTTCATCATTGCCGTCTCATATGAAGGTTCGCTGGGAACCTTATCTATTACCCAAAAAACCAAGAACCCTAACTATAAACTTGATGAACCTTATCAACATTAACCAAAACCCTATGAACCCTAACCATATTTCGAAGAACCCTAACCCTATGTATGAAGAACCCTAATCCTAACCTAACCCTAATTCCAAAAATTTCCTAGATTTTACCAAATTAAACCCTTATTCAAACACAACCAAGCATCAACAACAACAAACAATAGCCTAAGCTAAGTTCAATCGTGTTTACCTCTCCTTTAGTGACTCTTGTTCTAAAAAATCATCTTTGTCTCCTTTGATCTCTAATCCCTTTCTCTTTCTTGCTTGCTTGCAGGTGCTTTGGCTTGTGAAGAAGGCGCAGGTGGAAAACAAGATCTCTAATCCTCCAACCTCCAATTATCCTTTCTACTTCAGCTCCTCCAATTTTCGATCCATTCTTAGGTTTATAATTAGGTTATTTATAGGCTTAGGTCTTAGTATGAATTAGGGAATTGAATTATTGTGATTTGCAGTTATAGGTTAGATTGAATCTGATTTTGATTGTAATTAGAAATTAGGGATTTGATTTAGGAATTAGTCAGATCTTAGTTTAGATTTGTTTTAGAAATAGAATTAGGGTTTGTATTTTATATGTATCTAGACGATTCTATGTATAAAATTCGTTGTACTCAATAAAAAGTTTTTCAATCAAAGATTCGATCCAGACTTGATTTGTTTACAACTTCTGGATCTGGGCTTTTAGTGTTTTCTTAGTGAACAAGAAGAACGTCTGGGCGCAGCAAAAGGAAATTAGGGTTTCTCCCCTATTGACTTAGTCAACAAAACAACGATTCGGAGATGTATCTTTGAAAGAACCAAATCAGGGTGTTTCGGAGATGCATCTCCGAAAATATCACTGCATGTGAATATAATGTCCAATTCCAAACAAATTGTTTTCGGAGATGCATCTCCGAAACACCTTGATTTAGTGTGCGTTCGAAGATGTATATCTGAAAGGTATTTTCGGGTTTTAAGGGGTTTTTCCCCGGCCATAAAAAATGTACAGAGAAATTCCCTAGAAATAAAGTGAGGATCAGATGATTTTAGCTTTCAACATCCTTGTGTGCCTATTTTGTATTGCTTCCAAAAACAATACGTAGAATACGATAAAAATGAGGGAATTAAGGGTAATATGATTTAGGGTTTAATGGATATGCATTGAATCAATAGTCTCTCATGTCATTAAAAAAAGTTTAAAATAAAATAATAATGTGTCTTGATACATTAACGTGATTAATTGATGGTGTAAAATTAATTTTTGGTTGATAGTGTATAATTAATATACACTTTAGGTGCATCTCCCATTTTCTCTATGTTTTATTCAATGAGCAGAAAAAGAAATATGTTTTCTGTCTCTATGTGAAGTGAGGCAGCAACGCACACCACAAACTAACTTGAAATGGGACCGATATGCACTGAGGTCCATCATCTGCAACACATGTGAACTTAAACATATATTGATTTTCCTATCAGGAAATCATAATTGGGAAACTCTTATTGGATGGAACTAGTATTTTATGATATTATTATCACATATTCTGCATATTTGATATGTTTGAAAAAGATGAAAATAAATAGCTTCTAAAGAATGTGTGGTTGGAGAAACAAAATGAAATACTACAAGCCAATAGAAACATGGACATAGATTTCATAAGATATCTACCATTCATTTTTATCATCAGAGCCACATATAAATAACACTCATAACTCATCACATTCAGTAACCATCCTCAACATTGTCAATAAACCTATTCATTTGTTAACTCAGTAGTAAGCACTACAATACTAGAATGGCCGCTTCGACAATGTCTCTCTCTTCTTCATCACTGGTTGGAAAGGCAATCAAGCTTTCCCCGTCCACTCAAGACCTTGGTGTGGGAAGAGTCACAATGAGGAAAACAGCCACTAAGAAAGTTTCCTCTGGAAGTCCATGGTATGGACCAGATCGTGTCAAATACTTGGGTCCATTCTCCGGTGAAGCTCCATCCTACCTCACTGGTGAGTTTCCCGGAGACTACGGTTGGGACACTGCTGGACTTTCTGCTGATCCAGAGACATTTTCCAAAAACCGTGAACTAGAAGTCATCCACAGCAGGTGGGCTATGTTAGGAGCCTTAGGATGTGTCTTCCCCGAGCTCTTGGCTCGCAACGGAGTCAAATTCGGCGAGGCTGTGTGGTTCAAGGCAGGATCACAAATCTTCAGTGAGGGTGGACTTGACTACTTGGGTAACCCGAGCCTTGTCCATGCACAGAGCATTCTTGCAATATGGGCAACACAAGTTATCTTAATGGGAGCTGTTGAAGGTTACCGCATTGCTGGGGGACCTCTTGGAGAGGTGGTTGACCCATTGTACCCAGGTGGCAGCTTTGATCCATTAGGCCTTGCAGAAGATCCAGAAGCATTCGCAGAGTTGAAGGTGAAAGAACTGAAGAATGGTAGGTTGGCCATGTTCTCAATGTTTGGATTCTTTGTTCAAGCTATTGTGACAGGAAAAGGACCTATAGAAAATCTCGCTGACCACCTTGCAGACCCAGTTAACAATAACGCTTGGGCCTATGCCACAAACTTTGCTCCTGGAAAGTGAGAAAATACAATGATAAGTCACTAACTTGATTATCACAATTTGGATTTCTGATAACTTGATTATCACAATGTGAGTTTTGTTAGTGCAAAGGTGATGAATTTGAGGAAGAAGATGAAAGGGAATAAATACAATAGAGGCTGACACAAATGATTGGAGAATTGATTGATATAAATGTAATCCTAATACACCTATTTATACACAAATAATAATGCCACATAGGCCCTAATTGTAAACTTATCTTTAACTAACAAAATACTAAATTACCCTCTAATACCATCCCATAATTTAGTAATATATCAGAAGTTAACAACACCAATTTCATCTCTCAAGCGCAGAAATTGGTCTGTTTTTGTTGCCTTCGTCAGAACATCTGCCAGCTGCTTCTGAGTGCTACAGTGCAGAACTTCTAACACTCCTTTCTGCACTTGACTTCTAAGAAAGTGATACTTCGTCTCAATGTGCTTGCTTCTGCCATGTAGAACTGGATTCTTTGCAAGATTAATTGCAGACTTGTTATCAATCATCAGCTTCAGAGGTTCCTCAACTTCTACCTTCAGATCATGCAGCAGATTCAGAAGCCAAACTGCTTGACAGGCAGCTACATCACCAGCAATGTATTCAGCTTCACATGTTGACAGAGCCACAACAGGCTGCTTCTTGGAACACCAAGAAATTGGACCTCCCAGAAACTTAAATAAATACCCAGAAGTGCTTCTTCTATCGACTCTGTCTCCACACCAATCAGAATCAGAATAACTCAGAAGTTCTGATTTGATCTTTCCTCCAGAAGGAAATAGCACTCCATATTTCAGAGTTCCTTTTATGTACCTCAGAATTCTGACAGCAGCTTGGTAATGAGACCACTTTGGTTTGCTCATGTATCTGCTGACCATTCCAACTGCATAACAAATATCAGGTCTGGTATTGCATAAATACCTCAGAGAACCAACCATCTGTTTGAAGGTTGTAGCGTCCACATCCTCTCCATCAGAATCAGAGTCCAACTTCTGATTCGTATCAGCAGGTGTGATAGCAATCTTGCAATTTGCTAGCTCAAATCTCTTCAGAAGCTCTAATTCATACTTCTTCTGATGCAAAATGATTCCTTTCTCAGAGTATATAAGTTCCATCCCTAGAAAGAAACTCATTTTTCCAAGATCTGTCATCTCAAACGCCTTCATCAGAACTTTCTTGAACTCAGCTGTTTCTTGTTCAGAACTTCCTGTGAGTAATATGTCATCAACATATAAACAGACCAGAATCATATTACCTTCTGAAGTATGCTGAACATAAACACCATACTCCATCTCACACTTCTGAAACCCTTGTTCCTTGAAAACGAATCAATCTTCAGATTCCAAGCTCTGGGCGCTTGCTTCAGTCCATACAGAGCTTTACTTAATCTGTATACCATCCCTTCCTGATTCTTTTTCACAAATCCAGGAGGTTGTGACACATAAACTTCTTCCTGTAATGGACCGTTCAGAAATGCAGACTTCACATCCAGATGTATCAAAGGCCAATTTCTGTTTGCAGCTAAAGCAATCACCAGTCTGATTGTTTCGTGTCTAGCTACGGGTGCAAACACCTCAAAATAATCTAGTCCAGGTTTCTGAAGGAAACCTTTGGCCACTAGTCTCGCTTTATGTTTGCCAATTGATCCATCTGGCTTTAGCTTCTGCTTGAAAACCCATCTGACGCTGATGGCTTTCTTGCCTTTTGGAAGTTCTGTCAGCTTCCAAGTCTTATTTCTTTCAATTGCCTCAAGTTCTTCTTTCATGGAATTCAGCCATACTTTCTTCTTGAGTGCTTCTTCAATACCCACTAGTTCAGAATCTACTAGCATGGCACACTGAACGATTTCACCTTCAGAATCTACTTCAGTATCATGCAACATGCTAAAATCTGCAAACTTACTTGGTATTCGTCTGATTCTCCGTGGCCTCTGGTCTTGTTCTGAAGCTTCTCCAGAATTCGGAACAATACTGGCTTCTGAATCTTGTCCAGAACTACTTCCTTCAGAATTACCACCTTCAGAGTTACTTCTGGAAATTTGTTCTCCAGACCCTATATCTTCAGAGTTTTCCCTCCCAGAAGTAAAATCACCACCAGATTCTGGATCATCATCAGAATCTGGATCAGAATCAGATCCACTATCAGAATCTCCCTGAGATTCTGACTCATCTTCAGAGTCTTCTTCTTCTGACTCTGACTCGTCTTCAGAAACTAACCCTGGTGTTGGCACTACACCAGAATCTGATTGAAGCTTGTTCCAATCCCATGTTTCTGACTCTTTCACAACGACGTCTCTGCTGATTTCAACTTTGTTGGTTTCTGGACAATAAAGCTTGTAGGCACCTGTACTGTGGTACCCCACCAGTAACATTGTTTTGCTTCTATCATCCAGTTTTCGTCTTCTAGCCTCTGGAATGTGTTTGTAGCACACAGAACCAAATACTTTCAGATGACTAACACTCTGCTTGTCTCCAGTCCATTTTTCTAAAGGAATAGTTTCCTTCAGCTTCTTTGTTGGACACCTGTTCAGAACATATGCTGATGTGGCAACAGCTTCTCCCCATAACATGTGAGGTAACTTCTTCTCTTTCAGCATACTTCTGGTCATATCAAGCAAAGTTCTGTTTCTTCTTTCAGCAAGACCGTTGTGCTGAGGAGTATATGGAGCAGTAACCTCATGTTCTATTCCATTCTCCTCACAGAATTTCTGGAACTCTGTAGAGTTATACTCACCTCCACCATCTGTTCTCAGAATCTTCAGCTTCTGACCACTCTGCTTCTCAGCCTTCACCTTGAACTTCTGGAATTCTGTAAACACTTCATGCTTGAACTTGATGAGTTTTACCCAAGTCATTCTTGTGAACTCATCCACAAAAGACACGAAATATTTGTTTCCTCCAAGTGAAGCTACTGGAAATGGTCCACATACATCAGAGTGTACTACTCCCAGAGCATGTTTTGCTCTGGGGGCTACTTCTAACGCAAATGGCAATCTGGGTTGCTTGCCTTTCATGCATATCTCACATGACTTCTGAGGCTTCACAATCTTCGAAATGCCATGTACGAGCTTCTTAGAACTTAGATGCCCTAAGCTTCTATAGTTCAAGTGCCCCAACCTCTTGTGCCACAGCTTACTGTCTGCTTCAGCGCCTTCTGCACTGAGACACTCCGCTCCAGAGGTTTCTACATTCACTTTGAATGTTCTGTTGCTTCCCTGCTCAGATTTCATAATCATCTTCTGATTGGAATCGTACAACGTCAAGAGGTTGTCCTTCATAACCACTGAAAAACCTTTCTCAACAAGCTAACCCACACTCATCAGATTGCTTTTAATTCCAGGAACGTACCAGACATCTTTGATCAGAATGTTTCTTCCATTCTTCACTCTGACTCTGACATTTCCCATACCTTCTGCATTAAGGTACTTATCATCAGCACATCTGATCTTTGTTCTCCTTCTGGAGTCAAAGTCTGTCAGCCATTGTTTGTTCCCAGTCAAGTGATTTGAACAGCCGGTGTCCATATACCACCAATCTCCTGAACAGTTTCCATCAGAATCAGAAGCCATCAGTAGCACAGGTTCATCATCAGAATCTTCTCTGGCTATATTTGCTTCTTCTGATTCTCTTCCTTTGTTTCTACAGTCTCTGGCAAAATGCCCAAACTGTTTACAGCAGTAACATTGAACCTTCTTCTTGTCATACCTTTCCTTTCCCTTCTGATATTTCTTCTCATCAGAAGTTGAGGTTTCTGACTTCTGGAATTTATCACCATGTCTATTCTGCTTCTGGTCCTTCTTGACAAAAGAAGCTTTCAGAGCTTGCTCCACTTCCCTCTCAGAAGTTCTTTCAGTCAGACGCAACTCTTGTGCTTCTAGACTGCTTTGCAACTCTTCTATTCTCATGGTTTCCAGATTTTTAGAATGTTCAATAGAAACAACAATGTAATCAAACTGAGGCGTAAGTGACCTCAGAATCTTTTCTATGATTACCTGTTCAGAAAGTGTTTCTCCACAAGCCTTCATTTCATTAGTGATCAGAATCAATCTGGAAATGTATTCAGAAACTTTCTCACTGTTCTTCATGCTGAGATTTTCATATTGTTTTCGCAGGGACTGAAGTTTTACCTTCTTTACTGATACATCACCACCATAACATCTGGTCAGAATATCCCATGCCCCTTTCGACGTCGTCGAATCAACAATCTTCTCAAACACATTTTCATCCACACACTGATGGATGAAAAACAATGCTTTCTGATCCCTCTTCCTTGTAGCTTTTTCTTCTGATTTCTGTTCTACAGTAGCATCAGCTGCAGCTGGAACATAACCTTCAGAAACAAGGTCCAGAACATCCTGAGCACCAAACAGCACACGCATTTGAATCTTCCATCTGTTCCAGTTTTTGCCATCAAAAACTGGAAGTTTAGTGTTCAAACTACTGCCTCCATTCATCTTAAACCTTTGCACAGAAAAACTCAGATCTCACTCAGTGTTTCCCAAACCCACAGAATCAGTGTGATTCTGTTTCAGATTTTTGTTCAAGAATCAAAAATCAAACACACAGCTCACTATCACTCGTGTTTCCCAGAGTTTCAGAATCAAACCAAGAAGCTCTAGATACCAATTTGTTAGTGCAAAGGTGATGAATTTGAGGAAGAAGATGAAAGGGAATAAATGCAATAGAGGCTGACACAAATGATTGGAGAATTGATTGATATAAATGTAATCCTAATACACCTATTTATACACAAATAATAATGCCACATAGGCCTTAATTGTAAACTTATCTTTAACTAACAAAATACTAAATTACCCTCTAATAAGTTTCTGATTCTAATAAACTGTGTAATATATGGAGCAGCATTAAGAGACTGAAATAAATGTGAATGTTATCATATCTAGTGAAACGACAAAGCATTGTGTAACTTGGGGTTGCGTTTTTTCATTGCGTATTTGTCTGAATTGCATATTCTAGATTTAATTT